TGGGAATGTCCTGAAGGTCTGGGAATGTCGGGTCCTGAGGGTCTGGGAATGTCCTGAGGGTCTGGGAATGTCCTGAGGGGCTGGGAATGTCCTGAGGGGTTGGGAATGTCCTGAGGGGCTGGGAATGTCCTGAACGTCTGGGAATGTCCTGAGGGGCTGGGAATGTCCTGAGGGGCTGGGAATGTCCTGAAGGTCTGGGAATGTCCTGAACGTCTGGGAATGATGTCCTGAGGGTCTGGGAATGATGCCCTGAGGGTCTGGGAATGTCCTGAGGGTCTGGGAATGGTGTCCTGAGGGTCTGGGAATGTCCTGAGGGTCTGGGAATGTCCTGAACGTCTGGGAATGTCGGGTCCTGAGGGTCTGGGAATGTCCTGAGGGTCTGGGAATGATGTCCTGAGGGTCTGGGAATGATGCCCTGAGGGTCTGGGAATGATGTCCTGAAGGTCTGGGAATGTCCTGAAGGTCTGGGAATGATGTCCTGAGGGTCTGGGAATGTCCTGAGGGTCTGGGAATGTTGTCCTGAGGGTCCCGAGGATGAGGGACGTGGTGGGACCTGTGGGTGTCTCTCCCCAGTCCCGGTTTGCAGAGGGAAGTTGGGAAGAAGAAAAAGGGACAATCGGGAATTTCCAGCTGACACGACTCAGTTTTCCCCCCTCTCGGGAATCCCGAGGGACTCCTGGCAGCAGGGAGGGAGGAGGGAGGGGGGTCCCCAGGGCAGGAGGGACCCGCAGGAGAAAAGGAGCTGAGCCGAGTCTTTCCCGGGATGACCCGTGGAAGGTTTTTTTGGCTCCGGCGCGGGAGCAGAACCCGAATTCCCCGAAAAACCCCGGAGAGGAGGAGCAGCAGCAGCAGCACCCAGGGAAGCAGCAGCTCCTCACATCCCACGGCCTCTTGCCAGAAACCTCCCCCTGTCCCCCCCCGGGGGAGAACTCCGAGTGAGGATTCCTGGAGGCCGGGGAGGAGATGGGACGGTGGGAGCCGGGCAGGTGATTCCCGACTCGATTCCCGACTTCCAGGCACGGCTCTGGGAGCTCCATGAATGGAGCATTGAGCCCCCGGGGTGGGATGTTTACAGAGGCCACGTGTGTGTCTGGGAGGAATGTCAGAGGCTCCAGTCAAGGGGCTCTTTGGGGAAATTATCAGGCCAAACAAAAAATGTCTAGGAATAAGGATACAGGAAAAGAGCAGGGGGGAGGGGAAAAAAAAAAAAAAAAAAGTCAATATGACCTGAAAAATCCCCAGCACAGGCCGGGCAATGTGATTTATTCTATTAATAAGCCCGGGGATAAATGCTGAATGCATTTTTGGTGGCCACGGAGGAGGAGGGGGGAGCCCCGGGGGGGCCCGGCCGGGCACAAGCCGCCTTTGAGAGGGGCCTGGCTCCTGCCCGGCTTTTTTGGGAGCCGGGGAAAACAAGGGACTCGTTGATTTGGGAGGCTGGGCCGGGGCTGAGCGGCTCTTTCAGCCCGGGGGGGGGTGGGAGGGAGGGAGGTTCTAAAGCGGGGCAGTGGGACGGGACCCCCCCTCCCCATCCCAGCTCGGACTCAAACCCCGGAGTGAGAACTCCCCCAAAAAACGGCTGGAAAAGCCTCTGAGCCCCAGCTCTGCCTCCCTCCTCCACCAAGGTGGGCTGAAGCACCTCAGTTTCGGGAGCAGCCCCTCAGTTTTGGGAGCAGAACCTGTTTTGGGAGCAGCATCTGAATTTTGGAAGCAGCTCCTCAATTTTGGGAGCAGCCCCTCAGTTTTGGGAGCAATCCCCCAATTTTGAGAGCAGCACCTCAATTTTGGGAGCAGCCCCTCAATTTTGGGAGCAGCATCTGAATTTTGGAAGCAGCATCTGAATTTTGGGAGCAGCCCCTCAGTTTTGGGAGCAATCCCCCAATTTTGGGAGCAGTCCCTCAATTTTGGGAGCAGCCCCTCAGTTTTGGGAGCAACACCTCAATTTTGGGAGCAGCCCCTCAGTTTTGGGAGCAACACCTCAATTTCGGGAGCAGCCCCTCAATTTTGAGAGCAACACCTCAATTTTGGGAGCAGAACCTCAATGTTGGGAGTGGCCCCTAAATTTCGGGAGCAGTCCCTCAATTTTGGGAGCAGCTGAGTGATTTGATTTGTTGGAATGACACAACCCCCCCTTTCCCCGAGCCCCTCAGGGTTCTCCCAGCTCAGTTTTGTCCACACAAAACCCAGAAAAAAAATCCCTCGTTTTATTGGGGTTTTTTGTTTCTTTTTTTTTTTTTTTTTTTTTTTTTTTCCTCAGAGCTTTTAATCGAATAAAAGATAGAAAAAGGTAGTAAATGAAGTCGGTATAAAACACACCAGGAGGAGGGAAGGGGGTTACAAACCAGCCTGCAAAGGACACGATTCTGGGGAGGAAAAGGGGGGGAAATTCGGTACAAAACTGCTGCTCCCAGGCAGAGCAAAACCAAAAATAAACCATAGAAAACATCCCTTCCCTAAAGCTGAAAATACAAAAAGGGGGACGCCCCTTCCCTCCTTTGCCCCTGTGTAAAAAAGGTTATTTACAGCGGGGAGGAGCAGGTGGAGCAGCCTGGGAAGCTCATCCCAGGGAAATTGGGAATAAATGATCCCAGTCCCAGGGAATAAATGATCCCAGTCCCAGGGAATAAATGATCCCAGTTCCAGGGAATAAATGATCCCAGTTCCAAAGGATAAATCACCCCAGTTCCAGGGAATAAGTTATCCCAGTTCCAAGGAATAAATTATCCCAGTTCCAGAGAGTAAATTATCCCAGTTCCAGGGAGTCAATTATCCCGGTTTCAAGGAATAAATTATCCCAGTTCCAGAGAGTAAATTATCCCAGTTCCAGGGAGTCAATTATCCCGGTTTCAAGGAATAAATTATCCCAGTTCCAAGTACTGGGAATCAATTATCCCAGTTCCAAGCACTGGGAATCAATTATCCCAGTTCCAGGGAGTCAGTTATCCCAGTTCCAGGGAGTCAGTTATCCCAGTTCCAAGCACTGGGAATAAATGATCCCAGTTCCAGGGAGTCAGTTATCCCATTTCCAAGCACTGGGAATAAATGATCCCAGTTCCAGGGAGTCAGTTATCCCATTTCCAAGCACTGGGAATAAATGATCCCAGTTCCAGGGAGTCAGTTATCCCAGTTCCAAGCACTGGGAATAAATGATCCCAGTTCCAGGGAGTCAGTTATCCCAGTTCCAAGCACTGGGAATAAATGATCCCAGTTCCAGGGAGTCAGTTATCCCAGTTCCAGGGAGTCAATTATCCCAGTTCCAAGCACTGGGAATCAATTATCCCAGTTCCAGGAGTCAGTTATCCCAGTTCCAGGAGTCAGTTATCCCAGTTCCAGGAGTCAGTTATCCCAGTTCCAAGCACCGGCCCCGGGAGGGAGGATCAGGAGGATGAGGAGCCTCGGGGCACCCCCTCAGAAATCCCATTTTCGGGAGGCTGAAGTGCTTTTTCTGGACGTTTTTACCTCTGAGATGGCAGCAGAGACCTCGGGAAGAGCCTCTGGAATTGCTGCTCTGCCTCCAGCACCCCCTTCCCGACCTCCCCCCCCCGGGCAGGACACGGGAAAACCATCCTGGGAAGAGCCAAAGGAGCTGCTCCCCCTGCTCTGAGGGGGCCAAGGAGCTGCAGGGGGGGCAAAGGCAGGGCTGGGAGGGGGTGGGAAGGGAGATCCGACCCCCCAGCACACGCCAGAGGTTGTTCTTTGTGAATATCTGGGAATATTTACACGGCAGTTCCACGGCCCTTTGTTGTGCCTCGGGCCGGGGAACGGGGGATGCAGGAGGAGGAAGGAAAAGGAGTGGCAGAAAAGTGGGATCTGACCAGGAATTACTTCCAGGGAGGGCCTCTCCCGAGCTCCAGGGGGCTGTGCCAAGAACTGCCAGGATTCGGGATGTGGGGGCTGAGCTGTGGGCACAGAGGGCACCCCAAAATCTGCAGTCAAAGCCTCCCTCCTCCATCACCCCCAAAGGAGACCCCTCTTGTCTTCCCATCCTGGATTCCTTGGGGGGAATTAATCCCAATATCCCTCTCTTGTCTTCCCATCCTGGATTCCTTGGGGGGAATTAATCCCAAAATCCCTCTCTTGTCTTCCCATCCTGGATTCCTTGGGGGGAATTAATCCCAATATCCCCCTCTTGTCTTCCCATCCTGGATTCCTTGGGGGGAATTAATCCCAAAATCCCTCTCTTGCCTTCCCATCCTGGATTCCTTGGGGGGAATTAATCCCAAAATCCCTCTCTTGCCTTCCCATCCTGGATTCCTTGGGGGGAATTAATCCCAATATCCCTCTCTTGCCTTCCCATCCTGGATTCCCTGGGGGGAATTAATCCCAATATCCCCCTCTTGTCTTCCCATCCTGGATTCTTTGAGGGGAATTAATCCCAAAATCCCTCTCTTGCCTTCCCATCCTGGATTCCTTGGGGGGAATTAATCCCAAAATCCCTCTCTTGCCTTCCCATCTTGGATTCCTTGGGGGGAATTAATCCCAATATCCCTCTCTTGCCTTCCCATCCTGGATTCTTTGAGGGGAATTAATCCCAATATCCCTCTCTTGCCTTCCCATCTTGGATTCCTTGGGGGGAATTAATCCCAAAATCCCTCTCTTGCCTTCCCATCCTGGATTCTTTGAGGGGAATTAATCCCAAAATCCCTCTCTTGCCTTCCCATCCTTGATTCCTTGGGGGGAATTAATCCCAAAATCCCTCTCTTGCCTTCCCATCTTGGATTCCTTGGGGTGTTTTTTGGGGGGGGATTAATCCCAATACCCCTCTTGTCTTCCCCTCTTGGATTCCTTGTGGTGTTTTTTGGGTGGGATTAATCCCTAAATTAATAGAATAGGCTCCCAGCAAAGCTCACAGAGCCCCCCCAGAGCAACAGGAGCACCTTCCCCTTCCCAAAATTCCAGCCTCCAAGCAGGAAAAAAACACCAAACCCCCCCCTCCCTGGATGCTCCGAGCTGCCCCCGAGTCCCAGGACCCGAAAAGTTGTACCAAAAAAAAACCAAAAAAAACCCAAAAAAAAAAAGGAAAAAAATTAAACAACCCCCCCAAAAATAACCCCCAAGTGTGCTTCCAAACACTCCTGTGCCCTCGGAGCAGGGACAGGAGCCGGGGTTTGGTTCCCCTGTGTCGTCCTGGAGCCCCCCCGGGAAGGGGCTGGAGCTGCTTCTCCAGGGCAAATCCGGGCACTTCGGATCCCATCCCTCGCTTCTCCACTGGCATCATAAGAGCTTCCTGTGCAGGATCTCCCAGGCCATCCTCTTCCTGAAGTAGGGCATGTGTTGCTTTGGGAAGGGGGAAAAAAGAGGGAAAAGAAAGGGAATGTTCAGGAGAGGGGGGGGCGTGGAGCGGCTGCTCTTCCCACAGCTTTTTTTTTTTGGGATGGTAGGGGGGGGAATTGCTTTCTGGCTGTTGGAAAAGGGGCAGCAGGTGGGATTTAGGGAATGCTGGAGCTGTGATGGGAATGATCCCTAGGCAGGGGATGATGGAATTGTTGTTCCCTGACAGTCGGAGGTGAAGGGGTCCCGCAGGGGGGGATGTTCCAGGGAGGGTGGCACTGGGATTCCTCGGGATTCAGGATGCAGTGCCCCCACTTTTGGGGCTGGGGAGCTTTTCCCAGGGAAATGGGGTCTCCCATGGGATGGACTCACACCAGAGATCCATCCAGGACTGTCTCCCATGGGATGAACCCACCCTGGAGGGTCCATCCAGGACTGTCTCCCATGGGATGGACTCACCCTGGAGGGTCCATCCAGGACTGTCTCCCATGGGATGAACCCACACCAGAGATCCACCCAGGACTGTCTCTGTGGGATGGACTCACCCTGGAGGTTCCACCCAGGATTATCTCCCATGGGATGGACTCACACCAGAGATCCATCCAGGACTGTCTCCCATGGGATGAACCCACCCTGGAGGATCCACCCAGGATTATCTCCCATGGGATGAACCCACCCTGGAGGTTCCATCCAGGATTATCTCCCATGGGATGGACTCACCCTGGAGGTTCCATCCAGGACTGTCTCCCATGGGATGAACCCACCCTGGAGGGTCCACCCAGGACTGTCTCCCATGGGATGAACCCACCCTGGAGGGTCCATCCAGGACTGTCTCCCATGGGATGAACCCACCCTGGAGGATCCACCCAGGACTGTCTCCCATGGGATGGACTCACACCAGAGATCCACCCAGGACTGTCTCTGTGGGATGGACTCACCCTGGAGGGTCCATCCAGGACTGTCTCCCATGGGATGGACTCACCCTGGAGGGTCCATCCAGGATTATCTCCCATGGGATGGACTCACCCTGGAGGGTCCATCCAGGACTGTCTCCCGAGGGAGACACACCCTGACTGTCACCCCCATTCCTGCCCCCCTGGGGGGGAGGAGGGACACCATGGGTGGGGGGAAGGTGTTCCTAAGCCTGTTTTCTCCCTCCCTCTTTGGCTCCTCCCCCGTCAGCCATAAATTCCAGCCCCATCCCCATTTGGAGCCTGTTCTGATCCGTCCCCGCCCTCTCCCAGCCCTTCTCCCAACTCAGGGACCCTCAGCTGGTTTTTTTCCCAGTTGCAGAGGGGACAGTGAGAGGGTGGCTTTGGTGGGTCCCTGGCCCCGGGGTGCCCCCCCCGGGGGTGGTACCTGGGTGAAGTTGATGGGTTTGTCTTTGGTGATGCAGTCGGCGTATTTGCAGGCGAACATCCCGCAGTCGCTGCCGTTCATCTGCTGGGGGATCTCCTGCAAGGGAAACACGCCTTCCAGAGGGGAAACACCCACTTCCAGAGGGGAAACACCCACTTCCAGAGGGGAAACACCCACTTCCAGAGGGCCCACCACCCCCTTTCCAGCACCCAGGGGTGAAGGGCTCGACGGGAAGGACGCCTGTGATCTCTGGGAGTCGGGGAACGGTCGGGTTGGATCTCGGGGAAAGGTTCTTTTTCCCCCCTGAAGGGGCTCCCCAAGGGCAGCAAATGAAAGGCCATCAAATGTCATTAAAGTTCACAGGATTCCAGGATGGTTTGGGTTGGAAGGGAACTTCAAGACTGTCCAGTTCCACCCCTTTCCCAGCTGGAAGCCCCTCATCCCTTGGCTCATCACTCCTTGCCCCAAGTCCCTCTTGGAGCCCCCAGGGAAGGAAAACCCCTTTAAATGTCACTCCCAACCCAAACTGCTCCATGATCCCATGGAAATAAACAGCTGGGAATGCAGGAAAAGCTGCTCAAGCCTGGAATAATTGGGGGGAAAACCACAAAATCACAGAATGGTTTGAGCTGGAAGGGACCAAAGGCCCATCCCGGCCCGTCCCATTCCACCTCCCACTATCCCAGGTGGGTCCAACCTGGCCTTGGACACTTCCAGGGATGGGAAATCCTCTGGGAAACCCATTCCAGGGCCTCCCCACCCTCCCGGGGCGGAATTCCTTCCCGCCATCCCACCTAAACCCCTCCTCTTCCAGCTTAACCCCCTTCCCCTGCCCCAGCACAAAATCTGCCCACGTGGAAAAAAAAAAAAACCCTCTCCCAAGATCTGGGATTTGTTCCCTCCCTCCCCCCCTATGACCACAAACAACAAATCCCTGAGGAAAAGCAGCCTGGAAAGGTGGAGGCCCCTTCTCCAAACCCACCTGGCTCTTCTTGCTCAGCAGGGCCCAGCCATTGGTGTCAAACTCCTTCCTCTTCTTGTCCAGGCTTTCCTGCTTCAGGTACTGCCTGGAGGAACGGGACAACAGGGAGAGCTGGCTTAGAGGAGCAGGGGGGGGGAAAGCAGCCAGAGAAGTCCCTCAGTTTACCCAAGTTTTGCCCATGTTTGCAGAGCTCAGGCTCAGGATGGGAGCCCAATGTTTTCGTCTCGGCCCCGGCCGCGCTCAAAAAGGGCTTTGTGGAGTCCAAAAGGGACCGAGCACGACTTCCAGGACTCATCCAGGAGGGAAAAAAAAAAAAACCCCAGTCCCTGCCAGACCAGAGTCAAAGCCACAAACAAACCAGGGGGAGAAAATTGGTGTCGTGGCAGAGGAAAAGCTCAGCAGCTCCCAGGGCTCTGCTGGTGTCCTGTGACCTCCCAGGATGGAGGTGACAGGGACAAACTGGTCACGGCCTCGGAAGTGTCCCCGGGTGGGAAAGGGCTCCTCTCCAGCTGCTGGCACAGGTCAAACCCTCCCCCGAGCCCACAGCAGAGGGAGAAGAGCCCCAGGGGCAGGTTTCACATCCCAGCTCCCACCCCCAGGGCCTGGAGGACTCGGGAAGCTCCCGGGGGGTGTCGGCCCGTGGGCTCTGCTCCAAGAGGTTCCCACCAGCTTGGCCTGGATTAAAACCCTGGAAGTGGGGGGGGTTTAACCTGAGAAAGCTCAGGGACTCTGCCAAGCCCCTGCCCAGGCAGATGCCACCTTCTTTCCCTCGGTGGGCACGAAGACCTTGAGCCATTCCCTGCCCTGGGAAGCGCAGGAAGGAGGACACGGACTCGAGGGGGGACTGCAGGAGCCCCAGGAGGGGAGGGGGTGGCCCCAAGATGTTCCCAACGGCCCTAAAGGAGCTGCTGCTGTCACTGAGCTCTGGAGACACCTCCTGCTCCTCCTGGAGACCAAAAGGACCGGGAAGAGCCCCAAGAACCATCTCCTCCACGTCTGGCACCTCCTCAGAGGAGCCTGAGCCTGAGGACACGAGGTGGTGGCCCCAAGATGTTCCCAGTGGCCCTAAAGGAGCTGCTGCTGTCACTGAGCTCTGGAGACACCTCCTGCTCCTCCTGGAGACCAAAAGGACCGGGAAGACCCCTGGGAACCATCCCCTCCATGTCTGGCACCTCCTCAGAGGAGCTCGAGCCTGAGGACACGAGGTGGTGGCCCCAAGATGTTCCCAGTGGCCCTAAAGGAGCTGCTGCTGTCACTAAGTGACACTCAGCTCTGGAGTCACCTCCTGCTCTTCCTGGAGACCAAAAGGACCGGGAAGACCCCTGGGAACCATCCCCTCCATGTCTGGCACCTCCTCAGAGGAGCCCGAGCCTGAGGACACGAGGTGGTGGCCCCGAGATGTTCCCAATGGTCCTAAAGGAGCTGCTGCTGTCACTGAGCTCTGGAGACACCTCCTGCTCCTCCTGGAGACCAAAAGGACCAGGAAGAGCCCCAAGAACCATCTCCTCCACGTCTGGCACCTCCTCAGAGGAGCCCCAGGAGCCCCCTCGGCGCCGCGGTTGCGCTCGGAGAGCTCGGGGAGGGAACTCAGGGGATCAGACGCTGCTGGCTCGGGCAGAGGGGTCAGGAGAGCGCCTGGCACGGAGAGGGAGGCAGGTTTGGCTGCCAACAGGCAGAGATGTGCCATCTTTCGGGAAATCTGATCCGCGGGGACTTGGCCGAGCCGCGTCGGTCGGTGCCAAGGGCGGAGGGTTCAACCTGCTGCCCCGGGGCCGCTCAGGGGGCTCCTCTCCCCCCAGAAATCCCAAGAACTGCCCCAAAGAAAAGCCCTCCCCGGGCTGCAGGACACCCAGAGGCCACCAAGGGACTCGGGAGGGGCAGAAGAACCACCCAGAGGGAAGGAAAGGGCCGGGAGCGGGAAGGGGGAGGTTTTTCGGGATGAAGTGTCAGGAATGGGGGGTCTCTGTCACGGCAGGGGCCGGATCTGGTCCAGCCAAACATTTTCCATGAGCCTTCCTTAGCTGGACACCCCTTCCCAGCCCTGCCAGCAGTGACTGCTCTGCTTTGGATGGGATGAGCCCAGCAGGGGGGAAATCTCAGCCCTAAAAAACCCCCTCCCTCTCCCACCTTTCCACCGTTCAGGAGCAGCTCCACATGCCCACCTCCCCTGGAATAAATCCTAACGGATGGAGAAGAGGCTCCTGGAATAAATCCTAATGGATAATGGAGGGAGAAGAGGCTCCTGGAATAAATCCTAATGGATAATGGAGGGAGAAGAGGCTCCTGGAATAAATCCTAATGGATAATGGAGGGAGAAAAGAGGCTCCTGGGAACGAGCTCGAGCTCAGGGGTGAAGGATCTGAGTCACGACACGGCCCGTGGGGAAAATGTTAATTAATTAATTAATTCATTAACCCCCCCCCAAAAAAATCAACCCTGGCAATTGGTGGCGGCTCCAGAAGCCACTCGGGCCCTCAGCTGGAGGAAGGAGAGCCCAGAGCCCAGAGGGACCCACAGGGATGGAGCACAATTCCAGCCCCTGGAGGAACTCGGGGAGGCAGAACTGGGCGGGTGCACTCTGAGGAGGAAGAGCTGGGCAGGGATAATTGGGAAGGATGATCCAACCCCAAATCCATCCCCAAATCCAACCCCAAATCCAACCCCTTGCCACGCCTCGGGCAGGGGCTGAAAAGAGGATTTTTTTCCTCTTTTTTTTGCCTTCTCCAGGGCTCACAAACACACAAAGAGCCGAGCAGGTGCCTCAGGGAATTGCTGGGATCGGCTCCAAGGTGCAGCCGAAGCAGAGGGCGGGTGAGGAGAGAGCAGGAGATGAGAAGATTCCCAGATTTCACGGCTTTGCCTCCGCTAAAATCCCAGTTTTCACCTCATTTTTAACAGGCTGCTTCCTGCCCACTCCCAAACGCTGGAGAAACACACCCCCCCAAAAATAAAAAACCCCAGGCACCTTCCTCAAAATCCTCTCTCCAGGACTCACTCCAAACCCTGGGATCGCTCCAGAGCCTGCCCTGGGCCTCGCCTTCCCCCCTAAGCTCTGATTTCCCTGGAATCCTCTCACTTCCCCCGGAATCCTGAGGCCTTTAGGAAGCTCTAAAGATTGAAAGCACGAAAGGGTCACTAACCATGAGTAGGACCTCCGTCCCTCCTTCCAGGTGTGATCCTCCCACTGCATTCAACCAATAAAAGCCTCCTAAAATGAAACAGAAGGAAAAGGATTACGGCCAGGGAAGTGGCACCTGGAATCCTGGATCTCTAAGGACCTGGAATCCTGGATCTCTGGGCACCTGGAATCCTGGATCTCTAAAGCCCTGGAATCCTGGCTCTCTGGGCACCTGGAATCCTGGATCTCTAAGGACCTGGAATCCTGGATCTCTGGGCACCTGGAGTCCTGGATCTCTGGGCACCTGGAGTCCTGGATCTCTGGGCACCTGGAATCCTGGATCTCTAAGGACCTGGAATCCTGGATCTCTGGGCACCTGGAATCCTGGCTCTCTGGGCACCTGGAATCCTGGATCTCTGGGGAACCTGGAATCCTGGATCTCTAAGGACCTGGAATCCTGGATCTCTAAGGACCTGGAATCCTGGATCTCTGGGCACCTGGAATCCTGGATCTCTGGGGAACCTGGAATCCTGGATCTCTAAGGACCTGGAATCCTGGATCTCTGGGCACCTGGAATCCTGGCTCTCTGGGGAACCTGGAATCCTGGATCTCTAAGGACCTGGAATCCTGGCTCTCTGGGCACCTGGAATCCTGGCTCTCTAAGGACCTGGAATCCTGGCTCTCTGGGGACCTGGAATTCTGGATCTCTAAGGACCTGGAATCCTGGCTCTCTGGGCACCTGGAATCCTGGCTCTCTGGGCACCTGGAATCCTGGATCTCTAAGGACCTGGAATCCTGGATCTCTGGAATCCTGGATCTCTAAGGACCTGGAATCCTGGATCTCTGGGCACCTGGAATCCTGGATCTCTGGGAACCTGGAATCCTGGATCTCTGGGCACCTGGAATCCTGGATCTCTGGGTCCCTGGAATCCTGGCTCTCTGGGCACCTGGAATCCTGGCTCTCTAAGGACCTGGAATCCTGGCTCTCTGCCAGGTTGGATGGGACATTCCAGCCCCTCCAGCTCCGGGGTGGGGACCTTCCTCCTCAGCCCAGACCCCCGGAATGATCCAGGGGGGTTCCCTCTCTCACCTCCACTTGGAATCAAAGAAATCTGGGATGAAAGGAGCCGATTCCAGGCTCTGCTCGGACACAGAGGCAAAGAGCCACAGGGCAGGAGTAAAAAAAACCGGGATGTTTCCAGGTTTTAGGGCTTTTTCCTTCGCCTTTCCTGCCCTCGGAGCAGGATTAAGGAAGAAGGGAACAGGCATTGGGATGGAAGCGCCTCAGGAGGGGAACAAAGGTGCCCAAAGGGCTGGAAATTCCACCTGTCTGCTCACTCTCCACATTCCCAGGGGGAAGGAATGACACCTCTGCCTCAGGCCACAAGATTTAAGGATCAGATTCCCGCCAGAGCAATGCTGGGATGAAGGAACAGCACCAGGAACGGCACGGGGGGCGTTCCCTGAATCCCGGATCAAACCCTCTGCCAGCCCCAGGCGCCTGGAAAAGGGAGCAGCTCCCCTTGGAATCACATCCCCTTGGAATCAGACTCTGCTCAGGAGCAGCTCCCCTTGGAATCACATCCCCTTGGAATCACATTCCCTTGGAATCACACCCTGGAATCACACCCTGCCCAGGAGCAGCTCCCCTTGGAATCACATCCCCTTGGAATCACATTCCCTTGGAATCACACCCTGGAATCACACCCTGGAATCACACCCTGGAATCACACCCTGGAATCACACCCTGCCCAGGAGCAGCTCCCCTTGGAATCACATCCCCTTGGAATCAGACTCTGCTCAGGAGCAGCTCCCCTTGGAATCACATCCCCTTGGAATCACACCCTGGAATCACACTCTGCTCAGGAGCAGCTCCCCTTGGAATCACACCCTGCCCAGGAGTAGCTCCCCTTGGAATCACATCCCCTTGGAATCACACCCTGCCCAGGAGCAGCTCCCCTGGGAATCACATCCCCTTGGAATCACATTCCCTTGGAATCACACCCTGCCTGGGAGCAGCTCCCCTTGGAATCACAGCCCCTTGGAATCACACCCTGCCCGGGAGCAGTTCCCTTTGGAATCACAGCCCCTTGGAATCACATCCTGGAATCACATCCTGCTCAGGAGCAGCTCCCCTTGGAATCACATTCCCTTGGAATCACATCCTGCCTGGGAGTAGCTCCCCTTGGAATCACACCCTGGAATCACATCCCGCCCAGGAGCAGCTCCCAAAAGTGTGGGATAACGGCCCCGGATCCCAGGGCAGGGCCTGGGAAGGTCCCTTGGGATGGGCAAAGGCAGAGCCTGGAAGAGCCGCCCGGATCCAGCTGCAGCTCCAGAGGCACAGCCGGGAATCGAATCCTGCTCCCGGGAGATCTCTGGGATCCCTGGGAGCTGCAGGAGCAGGGAAGGATCCCAATCCCTGGGGGGGCTGTTTTCCTCCTCCAGGTGACACCGGGAAGCCTCTGAGGCTGATGAGACCCCAAAGGGGGTGGGGGATCCGCCAGGGTGACCCCGCAGCCTCCCTGGGGGAAGGGGCGGCCCCAAAGTTCCCAAAAAAGTTCCCAAAAAAGTCCCCAGGACACCACAAAAGCTGGACAGGTGTGTCCCACCCCGGAGCTGAGCCGGCACGGACAGACCTGGAGGCAAAACCCTACAAACCAATGGCCCCTCAGAGGGAAACCCAACCCCTGCAGATCCCAAACGACCCCAGGGAAGGAGCAGGGAGAGGGAAGGAGAAAGGGGCTGCAGGAGCTGTGGGTGTTATAGGGCAGTGACCCCACTGTCCTTATGGGGTTTTATAGGGCAGTGTCCCCATAGGAGCTGTGGGTGTTACAGGGCAGTGACCCCATATGAGCTGTGGGTGTTATAGGGCAGTGTCCTCACTGTCCCTGTGGGTGTTATAGGGCAGTGTCCTCACTGTCCCTGTGGGTGTTATAGGGCAGTGTCCTCACTGTCCCTG